TAAATCTCAAACAAAGAGAAGACATGCATCAGTTCATGAACTACACTGCTTCAGTAAACTTCCCTGCATACTGTTCACACAATAATGTAATCATTTTTCATTGTTATATTTCTTTTTAACTGGTTGAAGACAGGCTCCTCCATATAAAATGTAGTTATGAGCAAGCAGGGTATTTATTCCCTTACTGCATTAAGAAAGTTTAAACACAAGACACCTCCACAGCTCTGACTCAAAGTATATATGCACATCATCACTGTGCGTATATGCAAAAGAAGTACTTTTTAATGTAAAAAGCAAGAGTGTCAATAAACACTTGAAAGTGACTGGAGATGCATTTTGGAGCTCAGAGAAGTTTATGCTTTCAGAGGCTACAGTCCAAGGCTTCCTGGCCATTCCAAAATGCTGCTGGCAGTATTTATGAAGTATGGTGAAAAGCTCTACAGAACCATTTCATAAGGAAAGCTTTGAATCAGCTTTCGCATGTGAGACAGTGACATCCAGTGGCGAGTTTGGTTACCTGTAGCGATCTCTTCCTGATGCACAGACAAACATCAATATTTGTGTTTGCTGAGACACATTATTTAAAACATACTTTAAAATATTAAAAAACATTTAAAAAGAAAAATATAGACAGTATATGAGTTTCCTAAACAAAGAAATATACTTTGATACATTAATTATAAGAATGGTACGTCCATCTGAAGTGAAAAATAACAGAATCACAAAATGGGTTGGAAGGGATCATCTGAAGTGATCATCTGGACCTCCCTGCTTAAGCAGGGTTGTCCTAGAGCATACTGACACAGAATTGTGTCCAGATGGTTTAATCAAGCTTACAATAAAAGCAAACAGAAATGTCTAGCTGTATTTGAAGAAATAGAACATTCTCTACATTATAGCTGTACTCTTTTCTACCTTGTTCACACAAAAAATCACTACTCCTCTTTTTCCTGAAATTCCCAGTTCCTGTAAGAGTTCAAGATCTGAGATGATGATTCTCAGCATCCATAAAGCAATTCTTCATAGACTCTTCCTCTATTTAAGATTCACAGCCACAGAGTATCACCATCTAGCTCTGACATAGCTTTTCTAGAACAGATTCCTCCTTTCAAAATGCAGCTGTTGAAAAGTAATAAGACTGTCCTTCAAAGTTCTTTGTTTAGAATACATGCGAGATTGTAGGAGACCTCAATTTACTGTCTTTCCATGCCTTTGGGAAATAGGTGGGGTTTTTTTACGTGTGATGAAGGTACACAAATCTACTAAACTAGAAAATGCTGCTGAGGAACAGAAATTTTAATTCCTTATTACATCTGTTACATTTTTGTAAATCATGAAACTCATTGGACTAAAAAGTGGTGAAAATACATCCAAGTTAAGGATATCTCATTTTAGTGGATGTGGAAAAACAGAGCATGCTAGGTTTTCAGTTTTAGAAACTCATCTAAATTACTGCTTTTTCATATGGAACGAGGCCAGCCTCAACCTCCAGCCAAGTTTATCAGCTAAATTCTGATAATCTATCTTTTCACAGATTTACATCCAACAAAACTACTTTCTACTATGGTAAAGTTGTCAAGTTAATATTATTTTTCCCTTGTAATGTTTTTCCACACTGTGTGACACCACGTGCTGTTGTGGACAGACACATTAAGGAACACTAAAGAATTAAGTAACTGCAAGCAAGATACACAGACCAGTAACAAATTACTGTCTCATCTTACTCTCCACTGGATCCAACTGAGCACCTACCAGGTTTTCTGTATTCACATCTGAAAATGAAATCAACAGGCTCTTTCGCAAGCAACCCAAATTCAGGTTTCCTAATTAAAAGCAAAGGTATTTCACCAACCTTAAACATTTGGCTCTCATTCACTTATAAATTTGAAGTAGACAAAACAGTCTCTAAATTCATGATCTAATTATTTTGGTTTGTCAGCAAGTAGGCTCATACTTCATGTTATTGCAGTATCACTTCATAAATCCAGACTCATGATGAAGAAAAGTCACGCTTCACTTACTGAGGATTTCTGTTACAGTTTAACACACTTTAAAAAAAAAAAAAAAAGCAAACAAAAAAACCACCCAAAAATCACAAACAAAAAACACCCACAAAAACTTAGCTGTTAAACTTAAGTGTTTCTTAGGCAGGGTTAGTTAAGTTTGAGTCTTTCCAAAATGGGAATATTTTCCTGACAAACATAAATGCACATGCAAGACAAGGTCATCCAAGACAGCCAGCAAGAGCAAATCATACCTAACCCCATCTGGTGGCCTTCTATGATGGAGTGACTGCAATAGGCAACAAGGGATGACTGAGAGATGTCACCTACAGACTTCTGTAAGGCCTTCGACATTGTCCAACACATGGATTTGAAGCATGGATTATCTGGTGGAAAAGAAATTCGCTGGATGGAGACAGTCAGAAAACTGTGGTCAGTGGCTTCTGTCCATGTGGAGGCTGGTGATGAGTGGTGTTCCTCAAGGCCCTTGTCTTGGGACTGCTGCTCTTTAATGTCTACCAAAGACATAGTGAGATTGAGTGCTGCACACTCAGCAAGTTTGCAGATGACACAAAGCTGAGTGGTGCAGCTGACACAAAACAAGGAAGGGATGTTATCCAGAGAGACCCGGACAAACCTATGAAGTGAGTCCACAACAACCTCACAAGTTTCAATGGGTTCAAGTGAAAGGTGCTGCACTTGGGTCAGGGTAATCCCACATACGAGTACAAACTGGGAGATAACTCATCGAGAGCAGCACTGCCAAGAAAGACTTGGGGGTTCTTGTGGTAGAAAAGCTGGAGATGAGCTGACAATGTGCAGCTGCAGTGGAAAGCCAATCATATCCTGGGCTGCATCAAAAGCTGTGAGGCCAGCAGGTCGAGGGAGGTGATTCTGCCCGCCCCTCTGCTCTGCCCTTGTGAGACTGCATCGGGAGCACTGCATCCAGCTCTGTGGTCCTCACCACAACAAAGATGTGGACCTGAAAAATCGGGTCCAAAGGAGGCCAGAAAGGTGATCAGAAGGCTGGAGCACTTCTACTTATGAAGACAGGCTGAAAGAGCTGGAATTGTTCAGCCTGGATAAGAGAAAGGCTCCAAGGAGACCTAATTGCAGCTTTTCAGTAGTGAAAGGGGTCTTACAATGAAGAGGGAGAGCAACTTTTTAGAACGACAAAGGGGACTGGCTTTAAACTAAAAGAAGGTACGTTAAGTTGGATGTTAAGAGGAAAGTCTTTACTCAGAAAATGGTGAAACATTGGAACAGGTTGCCCAGATAAGCTGTGGATGCCCTTCCCTGGAAGTGTTCAAGGCCAGATGGGATGGGGCCCTGAGCCACCAAGCTAATGGGTGGCATCCCTGCTCATAGGATGCGGGTTGGAACTGGATGATCTTCAAGGTCACTTTCAACCCAAGCCTTTCTGTGATATACGGAAACCACATTTTTATGTTTGTGAAAATTTATCTCGTATAACTGTTACATTTACTTTGTACAGTTTCAACAGTGAGGAAAGGAAAAACACCAACCTCACACATAAGAAAGACAAAATTCCGAATTATTTGGGGAAAGACTGACTTGGGTGTTACAAAATTAAGCACATTGTTTTCAATTGCAAGAGTCTTGTTGCTTAGCTGATCTGAACCACCTTGCTTACTGCGAATCAAATTCATACACTTCACACTGTAAAGCCAAATGTTACTCATAACAGGTGGTTATCAGTAACACACAATAATGAGGTACTACAGCTCCAAGTGTGTGACATTAAAACAACTGTGCATTGGTATTGTTTCAGAACAGTTCGCAACAGGAGCACAACACTTGTGTGGTCATGCTTAGGACCATGTGTGAAAATTGCCCCTCTCGCCATCAAATCCTAAAAGCAAGGCTGAACTTTTTCTAAACCAGTCTGGGAGGACATCTTATCTATATAAATCAAAAAGGTCTATTCCTTGGTCCTGAAGACAGCAGGTCTTACAGTCACATTTGGACGGATTCTATTCATTCCTTCCCAGAAGGCACATGCTGTCTTACCAGACCACTAGAGGTGTTATCCACGCAGTTGACACCACCCAACACTGCACCAAGAGTCACAAGAGAACGGTCAGAATGGGACAACATATAAACCTTCCATTATTTATTTTGCTAATATAAAGTAGTCTGTAAGTGGTTCTTGATGGAGCAATGAGTGAGAAAAATGCCAGAGGCACAGGTAAGTTAAAGAAATGGATCCAACAGTAATACTTCACTACCCTTCCACAATGCTGTGAAGCCCTCAAGAAAGAGTTTCACTTTCTCCTTCTCTAGGAGATTCAAAAACTGTGTGTCTCCTAGATAGCATATGCTATCTCCCTTGAGTTTTTCTCCCTTTGAGTATTTCTGCTGGTGTGAAGACCATTCAAGTAATTAAAATTAATTTCAAAAATACTTACTTAGCTTATAAACTTACCAATGGTCTGGGATTTTCTACCCAAGTATTTTTCAAATTAGTCCAAGTTCAATTTTGTAGATCATCTTCCCTGTGTCTTAAATGAAACCTGTATTAGATAGAAGTGTACATCTCCAAACAAAGATACAAATTTAATAAACATGGATAGTTTGCACTGCGTTCACACCCCCCCTTCAAATTTCCTTAATTCAATAAAAATAAGCTACTTAGAAACAAAACTGAAGTCTTCTTCTTTTTACCAGTTATTTTTTCATTTTCAGTTATTTAAAAAAAAAAAGCATAAAAGAGGGAACAAAATTGTATAGAACATTATAGTTTCCCCCTTTCTTTTCTGATCTCTAAACAAGACAAAAACTATAAAAATTTCATCCAGTTTTAAGAAAAGATGTTTATCTATAAGCCTTAAAACCATGAACTGTAAATTGAAAAAAAAGGCAGCAATCATTTTGAATTACTTATGCAAATTAAGCACAAGAGTTTACTAAACTAGGAATTTTTATGAGAAAAAACAAGGGAAAAGTCTGATTAAAAATTGATACAAATTAACTCAATTTAAGATACAGTGGATAGTTTTATTTATAAAATGCCACTGGCACACAATATACACATAGAAAGTATGAACCTTGATTTATAAAGAAGTGAAATGCTTCACAGAAGCATGGATTCCTGAGTTATTCTGAATACAATCTCTTATTTATTGTAATTCACGACACTTCTCCAGCTGGCTTAAGCAGTAGAAGAATGGATATTTGATAAACATAGAGGTAAGATACAGTTAAAAATCACATACACAAATCAAAACTAACTAGACCATTGCGTGTCGCCTAGGTCATGGTGGAAAACTATCTTACAATGAAGGGCACAAAATCTCTTAAGACTGGTTTCTCAATTTCACAGTCAATTCAAATGTACTGTAGATACCTTCTTTCATCTTGCCCACAGGCACATGTTACAAAGTCCTCTTGACATCAGACACAAAAGTATCTCTGTTTCTGAATAACCATACAAACGGACTGATTACCCAGACAAGTACTATTATGATTGAAAAAAGTAGTGTAAGGTGCTTTCACTTCTTTTTCTCTTTTTCTGCTTTCCTTCTCTGTTGTAGCATCTTTAGTTCAGTCATTACATTCAAAGTTCTGTAAACCCAGCTGATCTGAAAAGTAAGTACATTATTAAATTTAAGCAATCCATATACATTCACTTATCAATTTAATGAAAGCACCCATATAAATGAACATATACATACCACAATTATAATAGTATTCACCAGCAGTGGTGCTGAAAATACAAGCGAAATAAACATTCCTCTTGAATCAAAGTATTGGTATTTAGAAAACAACCTGAAAGAAATACAGTAAAAATGAGAGAGGAAGCTTTATTCAGTGTAGTTCACACATTAGACTTTCACAGTTATTATTTAACATTGTACACATCACCCTACTTCTTGGGATACCCAAGCATAGGCCAGCGTTCTACTGTATTAAGTCAGATAAAAGAGGTAGTCAATATCTCATCAGTTATGAATATTTACTACAATACCTGTATTTCTCTCCTTTAAAGTTTTATTGCACAAACACTAAATAAAACAACTATAAATTAAGAAACTTCCCAATGCAACTACAAGAGTACATATATTTGTACCTCAGAAATCATTCTTATCCTGAAGTGCCTGCAATTACTTGTTTATTTATATTACAAAAGATAACAGAAATAATAAATGTAGTAAAGGTATAATTTAGATCATGAATGCCTGAAGTGAAGCATTAAGACTTACAGTTAGATGCCTGCATAAAGTAGTTTTAAACACATAATTTGCAGTTTTATCAGGGAAAGATTAGTTCAATCTTATCAAAATAAGCCATCAGTTTAATTCTAGTATACAGGTTAATAAAACAGACAAATTTTAATGCTTATGATGCATTTAAGTAAGTATAGAAAGCAGCAGTGATGTTTTTAAGAAGGGGTTTTTCAGCTTATTAAGTGTGAATAATGACTGAAGGAAACCCAGCAAAAACAAACCCCAAAGTTTGCACCCTTTTCCTCTTAACCATAGCACTCTGCTTTTCTCTCAGTTTTCTGACTAGTTAGTTTACAACCATACATATAAACACAGATTTTAAGCAGTAAAATAAAGGTATGCTAGCTACCAAAAATTATCAAGCTAAGTGATATTTATATTGTGTTGTATAGCTTTATTTAAAAAAAGTGAAAACAGTTACCTCCAATTCATGGCTGCTAATTCATTGATATATTCAGCACAGTACACTAAGCCCACTGTACAACAAAAGAAAAATATTAGATTCAGTATTTCTTTAAAAATACTTTAAAAATAAAAATTCTCAAAAAATGTCTTTAAAAATTTTAAAAATTCTTTAAAAATTCAGTATTTCTTTAAAAAAACATCAGTTCTGTGATTATACTACAGATGTGTACATATCAGGTATTAGAATCCCTTGATTCTCAGAAAATCCTTCAATATTTAATTGGACAAAACCAATTCTGATTTAAATGTCTCATATAGTTACTAGAAAGTATTAAGTGATCACAAAACATACCCCCTACATTACAAACAAACAAACAAACGTAAAAGCCTAATCATCTGAGCTTACAGAAAAAGCTCACCATACAAATTAATACTAATGAAAAGACCCAAACACCAAACTTATTTTTTTTCCCAACAATCCTCTTGGTGAAAACTTCCAAGTTACGTCTGTAAAAAGAAATGCAAGTGCTCCCCAAAGTTGGTATGGAATTAAGTTATTATTATAGATTTTATGGTGTCACACTGTTATATCTAACATTATTATCTCAAGTTTGGGTACCAACAATATACAAGCAAACACTAATAATATACAAAATAGAAACTGTTTTAACATTTATACAGCAGAGTAGTCTACTGTAATCAGGTACAAACCAGCATGTTCTTATTTGAATTCAGCATATTCTTACTTGAATTACATTCAATATGAAGCCATCAAGACATTAAGAAAATGGCAATTTTCAGTGCAATCACATTAAACAGAAAAGCAACACACCTACAAAATTTTAAACTCAAACAAAGCAAAACACCCAGACTGAATGGCTAAAGATAACCTGCACAAGGCAGTTCAGTAACTAATCTGGTGATATGAAAGTGTCATCTTGATGTGCCATCAGCTGGATTACCTCTGCTTGGCACTGTACAGTATAAACATAAACACAAATATAGGGCTGCTTGGTTGCCAAGGCAGAACAATGTGATAACTTCGTAATTTCCTCAGCTATTTCTAACTATCTACAATATAAAATAATTTCTATTGCAGACATATCCAAGGTACAAATAAGGCTTGTACTCAATATGGGTAATTTTATGCATTCTGTATTAACAGCAAGTTTACATCATTCCTAGGAGTCTATAAACAGTATGGAATTGGAAATTCTGAACGTCTAATATTAACACAGAAAAGGCTGTATTCTTATAGGGAATTCCAGGCCTATAATGAACAATGAACAGGGCATTGCTAGTTTGCCCTCTGTAGATCATTTAATAAATCCAGGTGTAACTGGATGTATAGCCATTACATATGAGTAGAAGTACAGAAAGATTTCTAGATTCCTTTTGGGGGTATTGCATATTATTAAAACCTTAGCTTTAGCTGAGTTATTTGCTGTTTTTAAGAAGGTATAGTTCCTCTACAAACTTGACTACCAACTAAATAGTATTTTTAAAGTCAACATAGTCTTCCAGTGGCTTTTTTCCCCTGCAAATCTCTTTCAGTTGCTCACTTTTCTACCTCCACCCTGCAAGCACGACAGCGCTGTGATACTGTGTAAAGAAACACAACTCAGCAGAAAATTCAACACATGGCTAGAAGTAAGGTAGTGCTCATAATACATGAATCTAATCCATAACCTATGAGATCTTAATTAAACCAAAGTCAGTAGGTGTTCTGTCAGTCAGCCACGAAGATATAGCATTGGTATAGCAAGGTCACAGTGGATTCTCAGGCTGAAGGCTGTTAAACTCTGAGATAACACAAGTTTTTACTGCAATATACATGCCAATCTTGGTCCTCCTCATGACATTATCGTGGCTGTCAGCAGGGCATAGGGTGAACTTGCTGTGGAAACTAAACTTATTCACTGAACTGCAGCATTAGAACAAGGCAGAGAAGAAAGCAACTGCTGGCGCTCAATAGGTTTCTTTTCTGCTTCTCCAGCACAGCAACAATTTACTGGGAACCTGTGATACATGCGACAATGACCGTGCAGAAACCTTACTGATCCCAGATCCTCACTAATGCCAAAATTTTAAGTCCCTACTTCATACGTTGTCTTGGAAAAAAAATAAATACATATTTATAGATCATCGCAGGTTCTATAGCACATCATCATCTACAGGTGCATGCACTGCTACAAGAAAAATGCGAATTTCCGTGCACTTCATCTGCTGCCCGCGCACTCACCCATGCAGAGGAAGTGCCCGACTTGCACCCGGCGGTGCTGCAGGGACGCGCACGTCAGGAGGAAGCAGAGGAGGTGGAAGGCGGCCAGCCCCAGCAGCCAGGGCTCGGACCAGTCCGTGCTCTGCGGGCGGAACGAAAGCGCATCAGGCAGCGGCGGCAGAAGGGGCGTCGCCGGGAGCCACCGCAATCGGAGCTCCTTCGCTCCTTCTCCAGCACCGAACACGGCTGGTCTCGGTCACGGACCGCGCCCCGCAACCCTCCCGCACCGGACTCGGGAAGGAGCGCGCACAGCGAGGGCTCTGCCCTCCCGCCGGACGACCCCGCTCCCCCGGCAGCCCCGCGGCCCCGCTCCCTCAGACAGCCCCGCTCCCCCGGCAGCCCCGC